CCCATAAGTTTTCAGGACTTTTTTAAGGCATCCCCACATAAAATAAGTAACTGAAACAGATTTGCTAAATTAGAATGTCACAGTTCCACTGGTTTGACAACTTTTGAGTTTTTATTGCGTTTTTCAGAAAACAGCTCGCTAAGCTAGCAGCCTGAGGTAAATTTCACTTACTTTCACAAACTTTTAATGTAGTACTTTTTAATGAGTTCCTTATGTTATATGGTTGAGTGGTCTTGAGTTTACTTACACTTGCTGCACGTCTGCTTGTCTCCTGCTGCATGTTAAAAAACGCTCATAACAGACTTCAGCCTTTTTTGTACCTGACTGTCAACACGCAGATGGAGGCAACCGATTGGAGGATACAGTTGTCAATCGAGACAGGGAGCCAATAGGAACTAATCACAAAGCAAAAAGCTTTTACCTTTGAGCGCATGTCCTGCTTCTTATTAAGCATAAAATTTGTTTGTTTGCCAAAAAAAGATTTTAAAAAATTGTAATGAAAAAGTTCAATAACAAGTAAAAAATGGCAACTAAGCCATTTCTTAAAAAGATTTATTGTCGTTGTCGTCGTCTGAGTGGTTCTGTGAAATTATCAAGTCATTTTCTCACCTGCAATGGACAAAATACCAAAACAAATAATCAAGCACAAAACAATAATGGAATTCCAATGGAATAAATATTTTACACTTTGGTTATTAGGCTACATTTGGTAATTGTGTTTCATTGTTTCACTGCATTAAATCAGTAAATTTTTACACACAGAAGTTTATGGTTGAAGAAAAATCTGATTTATTAAATATAAATCATAAAAGGTTGTAATGGTGTCTGAACATGGCAGAGTTAAGAAAGAAACTGGTCTTCAGTAGTGGGTACAACAAAGCATGGCTGGAGTACATCCCCTAAATAACAGATGCTTCTTGTGGCAACTTTACTCCTCAAAAATAATTTTGAGAAATCCATTTTATGTAAATGACCCTTTGATGTAAGTTTTCAAAAGACCACAGGCTGACAATCAGAGGTGTCACATGTATTCACAAATATACTAGGGTTTAAAATACTTTTTTAAGTGTCAACTCAAGCTTTTTACTCAAGTAAAAGTATTTTAAAACTACTTAAAGTATAAAAATAAAAGTAATGAACACTTTAAAAAAGCCATTAAGGATAAATGCTTAGGCTGTGCCAT